GCTCAATGATCAGATGTATTTATTGTCTCCTTGAATAAAATTATCAGAGCAATTTCTGACTGCTCAATTTCTTACATATACCTTTATCACTAGCAACTTATTTCCAAGTGTAACACTGAAACTCAGCAAATCTTATCTATTGTAGACAGAAAATAAAATGGCTACATCCTCAATCTGCCCCAGGGGCATCCTGAAAATCAACATCATAGGATTTTCTCTCCAAATATTTATTCTGTCCATGGTTCTCTTCCCATGACTAGCAGTTTGTTCTCATTTATGTCCTTGTGAAAACTCTACAATTATGCTATAAGTCATAAAGTTGGGACAGAGATCCATATGAGAAAAAAAACAGTCATGAGACTATAAAAGAAAGACAGCTCATATCCTTGAGAATTCTAACATCTAGTGAATGCAATGATACATTAGAATTATCTCTAAGTGTTATAATTTGGAGTTGTGTAATGATAACAAAAATGGTGTAGTATAGCCTGAATTCTACACACATATAAAGTGAAAGATTTGGGCAGCTTAATGGTCAAACAGGAAGAATGAGCAATGGAAATGAATTTGGTTGACTTACACATAGACTTTTGCAGACCTTACTCTATGTTTGGAATCTTTTGGATTTTGTTTTGCTTTTATACAGGATTCCATGTGTAGTTCAGACTGGTGTTGAATTCAATAGGTGGCCAAGGTTGACATCGAACTCACAGCAATCCTGCTACCACAGCTTCCCAAGTGATGGGTTTACAGAAATTCGCTACAATGCCCAGCACTTGGAATCTTTTGAAAAAATGTAAATCATCTAAATTTCATAGACATCATTTATACTGGCATGGATATTATTTCTGAGAACAGAGTGATGATGTATTTCCAGAATGCTGCTTCATTTCATCTGTAACCAATCAAATAAATTTAGTGATTTATTAGAATTCATGCCAGAAATTTTTTTCTTATCAGTGGTTTTTGTATTTGGGTTCTCCTGTGATTCCATGTAAATTTTAAGATAGCTTATTTTATTTCCTTCCTTTATTTTTTCCTCCTTCTCACTCCCTTCCTTCCTTCCCTCTGCTTTCTTTCCTGAAATTTGACCCAAGTCCTCAAGCATACTGGGCAAAAAAACAAAACAACAAAAAACCAGACTTGAGGATCCATGTAATAGAATAAAAGATGCAGAAACAATTCCAAGTACATTTAGCTGCCTTATCTTTGTTAACCTTCACTGGAACAAAGAAAACTTCTTTAATAAATGGTGCTGGGAAAACTGGCTTTCCACATGCCAATGATTAAACAAGACCTATATCTCTCACCTTGTACTAAACTAAAATTGAAATGGATCAAAGATCTGAATATCAAAACAGAAACACTAAATCTGCTGAAAGACAAAAGAGATAAAACGCTTCAAGACACATGTGTAGGCAAAGACTTTATGAACAAGATCCCAATTGCACAGGAAATATTACAAAGAATCTACAATTGTGATCTCACCCTATTTAAAAGCTTTTACACAGTAAAAGGCATAATGTCAATATTCCCTACATTCCAGACATTCAGTTATTGTAAATATTCAAGAGTCAGATTCTTGATGCTCAACATGTGTGCATCTTGGAGAAATCTTGTGCAATTAATGAAATTTGAACATGGCCTCATTTCATTTGCTTGTTTGTGTTTTGAGACAGTCTCACTACATAGTTCAAGATGACCTCAAACTTACTATGTAGCACAGGATGGCCTCTAATCACTGGCAATCCCTTGCCTAAGTAGCCCAAGTGCTGGGTTTATAGGAACATACCATCATGTCTGGCTTTCTTTCTTTCTTTTTTTGTGAATATGGCCTTCTTTGTGTAGTTGGCTTCATATTAAAATTTAGGACCTTTGAGGAACAATGTTGTGAGTGCAAATTACCTTAGATTTTTCTCGTAATTTTGTTACTCATCTTCACTTTGTTGGTCTTCCCAGTTTCTTCCTGAGGTGTAATGAGTAGAAGAAACGTAGTGACGAGTTACTACATTAAATAAAAATTATTAGCTTCCAGTTATATTCATAGTCAAATGTAACCATGCCCAGAAGATTCATCAATATATTTCCATATTTCAGTAAACTGCACTGCTGAACAATAATCAATTCTCTCTAATTGCATAAATGAGAAATGATGTCTTCCTTACCTAGAGCAGTCACATTCCTAAAGTTTTCCCACATCATGTCTCTGTAGAGCTTCTTCTGGGATGGATCCAACAAAGCCCACTCCTGCATAGCGAAGTTCACAGACACATCATCAAAGGTCACTTCCTTCTAAATTATCAGAAATATGTTTCCAGGGAGAAAAGTGAGAATCACAACATGAAATACTTCAAATCTACTCAGAAAAAGCTGAAATGAGCCTGAGTTCCATAAATAGCTATTTCATGCTTTGGTCATAAAACAGTTATTCTTTATCCACATGCACTTGTCACACAGGAATTTTGATGTTAGATGGGAATTCACTGCTAAAGAAACAGCAGAACAGGAATATTGCTTCTCCTGCTGGTTAAGCCGCTTACACTTTTATTCCTACAGTCTGTAAAGCATGCTTCATGGAGAGGGCCTACTAGAGCAGATGTGGAGTGAAACAGACCATGGTAGATGAATATCTAATGATTTGCTCTGACAGAGCAAAGAAAATATATATATTTTCAAATTAGTAAGGAAATATATCCCTGTCTCCCCTGAATGTATTTAGACAGCAATGTAAAACATCAAGCTTGTTTAATAGACAAACTGTAATTAAATACAAAGTAAAATTCATAAATGGTAATTTAAACTACCTATGAAAAGTATTATAGTACTCATTGGAGAATGTCTAACGATGAAATTAGAGTAAGGAATACAGGAATACATGTTATCTTATAGCATTGACATAAAATGCTTATCAGTCACAGACATGTAAAACTTTCTCAGATGTAATAGAAAGGGAAATGTGGGATGGACCAACCGAATGCCATGGCCTTGGCCACAGGCTAGGGCTACGTGCCCAGCCCAGGGAAGACAATGGGATTGAGTGTCCCTCCCAACCACACAGTGTGGCCCATGTGCCCAGCCCAGGAAGAGCCACAGGACAGACCAGTCAGTCTGAAATTGAGGATGTGTGGTAAATTATGGAGAAGAAACCACCAAAAAGGGAGGAAGAGACCATCCAGCAGCTACCAGACAACACTAAGAAGACCAAATTAAGACTAGTTGGAGTACAAAAAAATCAGAAGATAGAATAGATTAGAGTTATTAATAGGTTTACAGAAATCATAGTAGAAAAATCCCCAAAGATGAGAAAAGAGTAAAAAAAAGAAAGTAGAAGTAAGCAAGGCTTAGAGAACACCAAGAAACTATGATGGAAAAAAGATGCATATCCTTGTTTTACTGCCAGATAACCAAAACCACAGCAAAAATTTAAAGTAGAGAAAAACAAAAATTCACCAATAAAGGTGAACCAGTTAGAATTACAACAGATTTCATTTTTTGTGTGAACATTATTTTATCAATATAATAATGACCACCTCTTTAAACCAAAGCATATCATTGGCTTTGTTTTTTAAATAGTCCTTCCTGCTTTTTGGTTTTGCTTCTATTAGCCTAAGTCAAAAGTAATGCTGTATAAATCAGGAATATTTTAGGGTGTGTACAGCACGCAGCAGTATGATGAATGATCACTTTTGAGGGGAGGGGACCAGTGAGTTAATATTATCATTCCCTATCCCAGTGATGGTGAACCCTTTAGAGATCAAGCACCCAACCCAAACTTCAATTCCAAACCCACTTATTTATTGCCAAATGCCAACACTGCACTTTGAGACTTGTTTGTAAGTCAGGGACTTACTATACAAAGAGCACAAGAAAAGACAAGGATACAAAGGGATAGATCTTGTGCTAATGGAAAGGGTCCAGGACACTGAGAATGAGAGAAGCGGGGAGGGGAAGGGGAATTAGGTAGAATAAAGTTATGCTAAATACAGGAACGTAATAACTTCAGAAAATGTAAACATGATATGGAATAAACCTGAGCTGAGATTAGTAATACCAACAACAATGAAAATCAGTAAAAGGGATTTAGAGGAGGACAGAGGAAGGTAGGAAGAAAAGGGACTAAAAATGGAAGCAAGCTGTATTATGAACATGTACACATTCCCCAAGATGATTGGAAACTGCGTGTACTGCCAACATGCACTGAAGAGAATCTGAACCATAGCAAGAACAAAAGCTACTCAAAGAGGTGGAGGCTAGCCAAAGGTTTATTGACCGGGTGACCCAGAGGAACTAAGCACTCTGAAAAGACCTGGGCCCCAAGGGTGAGAAATGGGAGGAATTTTATACAGTAGTTTAAATTGGGATGGGCTTGAACAAAGCCAAGTTTTATAAGGTAACCGTCTTAAGGTTAGGGGCTTTCTTTAGGAACAGGATATTCATATAGCATAACAGGACGTTTAGGGCTAACAGAATATAACAGGATACATATTGTAACTGCTAAGGCTAACAGGATATATATTTAGGGCTATCAGAGAGAACATAAGATGTATACATTGTGAACTTTGAGGCCATCAAAATATGTTTAGGGCTGACAGAGAAAACATAACAGGACACATATTGTGAAAAGGCTACAAGGTTACATATGTTGTGGTGGCTTATATTGTGATTATATAAAGTATCACCTAAAGACAAGCTGCTCTGTAAAGCCAGGAGTAAACTCTTCCTCAATCCTGAGAAGCCAGGATTTCGCTATGTAATTTAATGTGTTTCATCTAGCCTCAACGCGGGCTATGAGGGGTCGGCATCGTGAGAGACACACTGGCCCAGAAACCTATGGGTTAAAATTCCCGGTCCGAGCTGCACTCGCAGCTACTCTCGGCTCAGCGGGAGGACAGTGGGGAAGAAGCCAATCAACGCTGGGGGCGGGCCTATGAACGGTCCAATCAGCCGTCCCGGGGCGGGCTCTGTGCTTCTCCGAGGCCCGGATGCCGATCGCTGAGCGCCGAGCGCCGAGCGGCCTGGCGGTGTAGACCGCGTTTCTTCAGGATGTGTGCTGTACGCAGGCTGCGCGGGAAGCGCCGGGGGTTGCCCCTCCAGCCACTGCACGGTGACGTAGTGG